TACATATCAGACCATCATCTAAGTGTCTTATTAAAGTTATAGGCCACTACTTTTTATTTTGTTATACAACATTGTGTTGAGATACAAATCCACAGGATCCCTTCCCTGCAGGGGTCAAGGGATCAGGTTTTTCCTTTAATTTGTCCCCCGCCTCTACAGCAGACCTGCTATGACACATGTCCAAAAAAATCCAGAGTAAAGATATGTTTCTATCCTATAAAGACACTGATTGTTTCCTATTGTGTCCATAACAGCCATGTTTCCTAATATCAAACATACTGGACTCCTCATCAATTATAGGAAGCAGCTTTTATTTTATGATGTTCAAAATGTGCTCTAAAATTTAACTCCAGATCCTAATCTGATATGAAGACTGTATAGTCAGTGATAACATGGTTTGAGTCTGTGTGTGCGCTCGCTGATGAAAACTCTAAGATATACAGATACGATAGGTGACGAACTGAAGGATAAACTGATCTAAATTAAACAACATGTGGCTCAAGAGATTCAGTGATTTTTCTGTGAAGGCATTTTTTTTTCTCTAATTTGTCATTTGTGTTTTAAATAAATACGATCATGAGGTCAGTCTAATAATCCAAATGCTCATTCTTGCTTTTTTTTTTTTTAGCGCCCTAACCTTTATTAGCACCATTGCTTTTTATCTCAAATAAAATTAGTTCAGTCGTGACCTTGGTAACGCTCGCTGACAAAACTATTCCAGCTCAAGGTCCCTTTATCTTTATCTGTTCCGGAGCTTTATATCACAACACATCTTGCAGTCGTGTAAATTTCCCTTTTTCTGGGCACTTTAAGGACTCGACAGAACGGGGATTTTACACAATGCATAAAATAACAAGCTGTTAAAATACAACACACTGTGAAGGATTAAGGCAGTAGACGTCTTCACTAAATGGTGCATCTTCCTTCGAAACACTTTATTTTTCCACCAAAGTTCAAATGATCAAAGATTAGAGAAAAACTTGTGCTCATGACCAGTAATCTTGTCATGAGCTCTCAAATTTATCGTCTGGCCTTGTATATAACAATGGGGTATTTGAACATTGCTGTATTGGTGCTTTTACTTCAGTAAATGATCTTCCACTCCTGACTTTCCATCTGTGTTCACGGCTAATTAGCTAATCTGTTTTTTGGAGGGGTTCTGTACGTATACGCTACATATAAAGTGTCTATTTAAACACATTACCAGGGACCCAAAAGGATTTTTTTGCACAGGGTCCATCTTACCAGATTAAACCAACCATGTCTTAAAATGTGAGCTTCTAAGTTCATACCTGACCTGTAAAAAAAGCAGCTAGCAAAACCATTAACCCCAGATCTTATTAATTAGCTTCAGATTTAAAATGGTGCATTCAAGCGTCCGTAAAGGAATCTGGCCCATCTGTACGGAGATGGAAGTGCTCGTCATGCTCATAAATAGTCTCACTATCACCACGCAGCGACATTACTGAGATGCCATTTCTCTTTACAACAGAAAGACAAACTCTGGCCTAAATATGGCTTCATTTAAAAGGACTTGAGTGACACCTTGTGGGTGCTTTTGGTCATGACTGTTGCAGGGCTGCGACTCCATCACACTGTTCCAACATCTGAGGGATTTATAGCAGCAGTACATTTGAATTTCGGCATTTCTAGTAACGTTATTGTTTTAGTTGTGATTGCAAAATCAATTGTTACATCCATCACAGTGATCTATTTCATCAGGCAAAACCATAGGGTTGTGCTTTAGACTATGTTCTTTGTAAGATTCTGGTGTTTTTGTACCTTCTTCCTCCACTAGCTTTCATCTTGTCCCTCAGTACCTTCATACAGTACAACAGAAGTGACTATACCCCTGTGCAGTATCACCTAAATGTCAAACGGATCAAAATAATATCACCTTTCAATAATCGCATCACTTCTAACTTGCCAAGTAGAGTATCCTTACTTAAGAATATAAACAACAAACATCGGTTCAATTTAATCCCAATTAATAACAGATACTCTACAAACACTCCTTTCAAAATACAAGCTCTAAAGTAGGAACTCAACGCAACAAAAGTGAATACACCCATGATCACTGACACACAAGTTAGAAAACCTTTGTTAATGAAACAAAACTAAATGAGCACAGCTGAGAGTTTCAGTCAGCCTGAATGCATGAATTATGGTTATAAAATGATCTTTGAACACCAAATGAACTGTGTCTATCTGCATATCTGCATCACGGCTCCGACTGGGAAAAGAATTTCCAGAGGAGCTGAAAACTCTGATTCACAAAGATGGAAATGGATACAAGAAGATCAGCGACCAACTAAAGATCAATGGACACGGCTGTAGCAGGAATCAGGAGGTAAAGAACGAACAATAGCACCACTAATCAGCGCCCCTGTGACCATCCTCCCTTAAAATGGCACCATGGACAGTCCACTATTTGTACACTCTAGCTCTGAAAAACAGACAAGCAAGTGCTTCAGATTTGGCACAGAGGTGGAAATCAGAGTGACAACTCACATAGTGTAAAGGACAGTTCATAAGGTCAGCTCCTGTGTCAAAGAAAAACAGCCCCGCTTGCTCTTTGGCACAAAACTGTAAGAGGAAACTTTACAGCAGAACTTAAGAACCCTGATGAATTTTGGGAGTGCATTCTTCGGAGACCAAGACAAATCTGTTTGGCTCCGATGGGGTCCAAAATGTTTGACGTAAACCTGGCCAGAGCTACAATAGTGAATGCATAGTTCTGTCAGCGAAGCACAGAGGTAGGAGTGAGTGAATTGAAAGGGTTTGCAGAAGTGCAAAAGGTGCTGGGGAGATAACATTTATAGATGCATCATGAAGGCCTGTGGGTACATGAAACTACTGGCTGACAAGATCCCATACTGAAATACTTTAGCATGATAATGATCATCACAAACACACTATTGTCCCTACAAAGCATGGAGGTGGCAGCGTCATGATGTTGGACTGCTTCTTGGCAGCAGGATCTAAAAGGTTTGTAAAGATAGATTGATAGAATGAATGACTCAGAGTATAGGTACAGTTTGTAAGACAGCCTGGTGTAATCTGGGGAAGATGTTCCTCTACCAGGCAAAGAAGCTCCTTCATCTTACTTCACAAGTCATTTTGACTGATACAAACATATTACTTATGTATGATATTAACGATATTGTCAAGTTTTGATGTTGCTCTGACTTTCACTGCAACATAAATGTTAGATAAAACTTACAGAAGTTATCTTTTGGATTTTTGAAAAACTGGTTAGCACTGCTGCCTCATAGCAAGAAGCTCGCCGGTTCGCGTCCCGCTGAGGACAGCCGGGATCTTTCTGTGTGGAGTTTGCATGTTCTCCCCGTGCAGCGTGGGTTCTCTCCGGGTTCTCCGGCTTCCTCCCACACAGTCCAAAAACATGTTGAGGTTAATTCTAAATTATCCGTAGGTGTGAATGTGAGTGTGCTTGGTTGTCTGTCTCTAAGTGTAGCCCTGTGATAGACTGGTTACCTGTCCAGGGTGTCTCCTGCCTTCACCCTGAGTCAGCTGGGATAGACTCCAGCTCCCCATGACCCTAGTGAGGATTAAGCGGTGTATAGATGATGGATGGATGGAATTTACAATTGCGGGGCCTATAGGACAAAACTTTTATTTCATTTATTACAATTTAGTGTCATTCACATTTAAATTCATGGCATTAAAACGATGCCAAATCAACACGAATGTTTAGTAACTAATTCAAGTTAGTGCATTATTAGCGTAACACACTATCAACTACTTAACTAGTGCTGCTGCAAACTAATAATGTGTAATGTATTAGCCTAAAATAAAGTCAGCTGGTTCCTCGTTAAGACAGATGTTTTTTTTTATTGCTGGTTAGCTATTGTGTTACTGTATTAGATTAGAACGTACTTAATTTATCAGAAATCTACCATTAGTACAGTATTCATGTGCATGGGGGGCTGTCTTCCCTTTAAAAGTAATACTCTTATATTATCACATATTACAGAAAAAGGTTAAGTTGTTTTTTGTTCAAAATAATGTGTAACCCTCTACACAACTATAACGTTAACAGTTAGACTTTACAACCAGCACTGCTCCCAGCAGACCCCTTGCAAAATCTGTTTTTCTTCATACACAACAATTTATGCTATTTAGTTCATTTTCTGTTTACATACAATCTGGGCAACAATAATACTCGGTTGGTATTTTTGCAACACCACTGATATGTGCAATAATATTATTTCTAGAACTACTACGTACATTCCTTATATATTTGCACCGTCTGTAACATTACAAATTTCCTCACTGTGGGATTAATAAAGGCTTATCTTAACTTAAAGAAAAGTTTGTATATGTATATTTTTACTAACAAAAGCCCCACAGAGGTTAAGTTGCTTGAATATTACTTAATATTATCTCAAAACCATTTGTTTTGACTTGCCCAAGACAGTAAAAAAAAAATAAAAAATTAATACTATTTAAAGATTACTAAGGCCACTATCGGCCAAGGAAAGACCTCAAATAAAAATGATAAATTCTACAGATAAAAAACAATGTGTAGTTAAAATTGGGTATGTTATTAATAGTTAGGTAGAGAGAGATATGAGTTTGTATTTTTAATTCATTGACATTACTTTGTGGAAATCTGTTTTCATTTTGACATTAAAGAGTCTTTTGTTGTAAATTCTTGGTCCCCAAAAAAGGTCAAATTAACCCAATTATGGCTCCATGTAGAAAAGGGGAAACTTGCAACCAGGATGAATACTTTTTATCCGTACTGGTGCACAGTTGGTACCAAAGACTAATATTTTTTCTCTGTAAATCAAAGTGAAAGCACCCTGACTGACACCAATATGTCTATTTATAACACCCCCCCACCCTCCTCCTCCTCTCCCACATTACGTCATTGGGACCCGTGCACTTGGTGAGTCCTGCAGCTCCTCATGAGGCGAAGCATGCAGCTGCAGGAGACACCGGACCGCCTTTTGTCTTCGTGTGATCCGGTTCGGTTCCATGTCAGTAAATAAGAAGCAGCAGCAGCAGAAACGCAGCAGCAGCAGCAGCAGCAGGTTAATAGGCGGGACTTCCTCCGAGCTGTGTGTTTATCAGCTGGGTGCAGCGCAGGGATCGAGCCAGTGCAGGATCTGATAACGAGGTAAGCTGCTTGTTGACACAACACTGTTTTTTTGCATTTTGAATTTGTGCATTTTTCTCCGCCGTGATGTCGCTTCGTCACTGCGAACCGGACTCGCTGCTGTTCGTTGGGTTTTTTTTTGTGTGTGTTGTTGCAGCCACAACTGCGCGTTTGAGCGGTTAGCACTGCAGCACAGATGCTACAACACGGTGTCAGTGTCAGAGACAGGGCTCACTTTAATTAATGTGTTTTTAAGTCGCTCCCGCACAGATGCACTGCGGTCTCTGCTCTATCACCAATGACATCATTGTCCTGAGCTGTCAGCGTCTTCACGGATGATGCGCTTTTGTGCCAAACTGCTGCGTAATGTACAGCTGGATACATCCAACTAATAACACCAATGTTGTGGTGGAAAACTGGTTATTAAGATCACTTAAACTCAACCTGCGCTTTGTTGTCACATCCGGGCTACTGTTTTTAATATTTTTTCATCTCTTCATTAGTTTTCTGATTAATAAATTAGTCTTAATTATGCTCCAAACCCAAAGATATTTAGTTTGAGAGGTGGAACAAGTACCTTAGATGTGTCACTTAGTACTACAAAGTGGAAATACTTCTAGAAGTAGAAGTCATTCAGTAAAAATAAAAATGGGTAAGCATGTAAATACACCCACTCATTAAGCAGAATATCATATTATTGGGTTGTAATTATGACTGTGTAACTCAGGGATCAGTAGTTTTATCTATAATATTACACCATGATAGATTTGTTGATTATATTTTTGTATATGGGCTGAGCTATTTAGGGAGAATGTCTTGTTGCATATTTTGTGACAGGAACTGCAATGTGATTTGCGATATTTATTTATTTTTAAATGTCAAGCTCCAATTCCAGATTCGCTGTGTGTTAGATTTAAAACGTGGTGGAGCATTATTACCTGAAACATCGCCCAAAATATCAACTGATCCATATTCAAGTGCAAAAATGAGAACTTCAAGGTGTGAATCTCTTGTATTTTGGGCTTAAAAAAAAAGTGGAATAAAACAGACTAATTATCATAACATCCATGATTGTGTTAAGTTAAAAATTAAACTATATTATTAAGAAAACAATGGACCCTTTTTGTAAACAATCTGACATTCAGGTAGGTAGGTCATTCATGTGTGGCTCAGGAGCAGCTTCTAAGTATTGCACATTTTGCAATCAATGTAAATAAAGAAATAGCACAAAACAAAGTATTTCACATAAGCTGCAGAATGCGTGTTCTAAATTGCAGCCTTTGTGATTTACAATTTGATTTTTTTTCTCAAATTGCAATTTTGATTTGAAACTAATTAACTTGAAGTCCTGTTTTCTATTATTAAATAAATGTAGAGGGGTAAAAAGTACGCCTGAATGGTACAACTCAAAATTACACTCAAGTACAGGACTGTCCACTGTTTGCTTTATAATAATGTAAAACAGAAATAAGCAGCAAATTCTGACATTTGAGACAGAAATGTCGCTGATTTTTTGCTTAATGACCAAATAGTTGTCAATTAACTTTCTATCCGTTTGTCAGCGAGTAGATTTATTGCCTCGGAGCCAATTAATATAAATGTCTTTAACCACCGAAATGATGAGTAGTTCCCCTAAAACAATTGTCACGTCATTGGTGCACTGCTATTAGAGAATAAATGGACACTATATCGCTAAAAGTATACGGACAGCTGATCAAGGAATGTAGAAGTTAGACCTGTATGTGATGACTGAACATCTCATTTCTTTCTCATGAGAAAGTATAAAGGGCATTCATGCTATGTTCTGGCCTTGCATTGACAAATAAAATCTATTATCTGTCAAGTGGAGTCACGTCAGCATCACTTGTATAGTACATTTGAAACGACAGATGTTGAGCTCAGGTGCTTTCTATAAGAAAACATAAGACTGACATTCTGGATTTACCTGACAAGTTTAAATATTAAGGCTAAGAGCCTACAGTATTATTTATTGAATAAATGTACCTGACTAAATTAAATATTAAGGTTAGGACCTTACAACGTCTGACATGGAAAAATGCCACAAATCTGAAAATTCTCTTTAGATTAAATTAATCTTAATTCACAACATGTCATCCAATAGCACTTCACATGTTCGAACCGTACAAGTTTTAAACAGAAAAACCCTGCAAACCTAAAGTTCCCTTTGAGCAAGCATACGGCAACAGTTTGAAGGAACAAAAAACATCCCCTTTTATCGGGAAGGACCCAAAAAAATAACAACTTCTGACAGAACCAGGATCAGGGAGGGGGCCATCTGCTTCCACCGGTTGGGGTGAGGATGGGGATCAGTCATTCAAAAACCTCTAAAGTGTGTTTAAAGCTGCTGCCGTAACTGGAGGCCATATAGTTTATTCTCCTGTATAAAAGCAGGTTCATCTTTAGTCATTTTTGTGTGTGTTTGTAGGTTGCGTCGTCTCCCGCCACACTATGCTGGGCCTCTTGCTGCGAGGAGGCTGCGGTCCTCTGCTCGGCCTGCTGGTCCTGCTGCTGCCTCTGGTTTCCCTCCATCGCCTCAACCACCACCAGCGCAGGGGGCAGAGCGCCAAGGACCGACCCAAGCTGCTGCTCGTGTCCTTTGACGGCTTCCGTTGGGATTACATCGACCGCGTCCCGACGCCCAACTTCCACAGCATCATGGATGAAGGGGTGCAGGTGGAGTACGTGGAGACCGCCTACATCACCAAAACCTTCCCCAACCACTACAGCCTGGTGACGGGGCTGTACGCCGAGACGCACGGCATCGTGGCCAACGAGATGTACGACCCCGTCATGAACATGTCCTTCTCCATGGAGACGGACAGCATTTACGATTCTCGGTGGTGGGAGGAAGCCGTGCCTCTCTGGGTGACCGTCCAGAAAGCTGGAGGCCGGAGCGGGGCGGCGATGTGGCCGGGCTCCGATGTGAAAATCCACGGCATGTTCCCCAATCAGTACCTCCAGTACAACGCCTCGGTCTCCTTCGAAACCAGAGTGGAACGGATTATCCAGTGGTTCTCCGCTCCTAAAGAGGAGGCGGTGGATTTTGGAGTTCTGTACTGGGAGGAGCCCGACGAGAGCGGCCACAATTTCGGGCCTCAGAGTTCCCTCATGGACGTCGTCATCGCCGGGGTCGACGAGAAGCTGGGCTTTCTCTTGAACGAGCTGAAGAAGGCCGGGCTGTACGAGAGCGTGAACCTCATAGTGACCAGCGACCACGGCATGGCGCAGCTTTCTGCCGACAACATCATAGAGCTGGATGAGTATGTGAGCAGAGACGCGTACACGTGGGTGGATAAGAGTCCAGTGGTGGGAGTCCTGCCCAAAGAAGGTAACAGACACTTGTTTCCTTACCAGCAGGCCAAGTTATACGAACTGGCTGCTTGCTGTAGCTTCAGATTGACCATACAGACAGAGAGCGGTACTGGTCTTTTTCTTTCTGAACCTTTTAGTTGACAGTTAATTGCCACAAAAACAATTGCAATTAATAACTTTTGACTTTTTCTTTTCATTTCATGCCTCCATTAGGTTATTTATTTAGCAAATCCAACAAATTGGCTCCTCCAAGTTACTAGGTTCTCCTTCTTTATTAGCTTGAAAAACAAAATTGCGCCTATAACTGTGCTACTAGATTCTTGAGTTACGCCAATAGAAGTTCATTAAAATGACTGTGGTTGAATATAAGGAGTGCCTTGAGGTAAACATTTTAAACCACAGCAGAAGAAGTGGGAAAATGTGGATATGTGGCATTTCTGTTAGTTTCAGCCAGCTGTTTTTATACAGGTGAATAGAAACGATTATGTAAAAGTGCAATCAGTAATAAATTCTAACAGGCTTACTGATTCTTTCATGTAACTCTCAACAAGACAGGAAAATCAGCTTATTCCTAAACTAGGCCGCTTGCCGTAGCTTCATATTTACTGTACAGAGATGATGGAACTGATATTTCTTCTTTTTAAACATATCACTTGACTTGTCACTCAAATAATTGCAATTAATGATTTGTCGTTTTCCGCTCACTTTATGCCTCAGTTAGTCTTAGATTAGCGCAAATCCAACAAATTGTCTCCTCCAAGTTTTTAGAGTTGCCTTTTTCCTTTAGCTAAAAAGCGGTCGCAACTAAATCCGCGTGTCAATAGACGCTCGTCGAAATGCATTCGGTCAAAAATGCGACGTTAAGCGCTTTGAGATGAACATTGGGCACCATTAAACCAAAGAGGGTACAGTGGAAACAGTTACTGATATGACATTTCTATTAGTTTTATCCAGCAGCTATATTTATACAGTTTAATGGAAGCGTAAAAGGACTGCAGTCAACTCAAATAACTTCAATCAGGCGATAATGTAATAATTGTAACGGGCTTACTGATCTTTTCATCATCTGAGTCTCGGCAAGACAGAAAAATCAGCTTATTAGTAAAAAGCCGAACCGTTCTTTAAATGTGCATTAAAGGGATGAGTTTGCAATCAGTACAATAAAAGAATTAAGCACAAGTGCATATTTAAATAGATTATTTTTTGCCATTATCTGGTAATTGAAGTTGGAGAATAGAGATTTCATCAAGAATAAAATGGGTTTTGTATAGATAGAGACTCCAAAATGTTGAATTTCTTGCTTATCCTGCTATATTATATTTGCATTTGCACTCATTTCCTACTGTTTCTTGTTATTCATCTTGCAGGGAAGTTCGACGAAGTGTATAACTCGCTGTTGGACGCAAACCCCAACATGGCGGTGTACAAGAAGGACGACATTCCCGAGCACTTCCACTATCAGCACAACGTCCGGATCATGCCCATCCTCCTGGAGGCCAAGGAGGGCTGGACCATCGTGCAGAACAGAACCGGACCCTTCATGTGTAGGTTCTCGTGAAGCTGCGCCGAGACAATAGCCTGCTTCAGGGCTGAACACATTAAACGAGAGCTGGTTTAAACAGCCTGCTTTTGTCTGCTCTAATAATAACTTCACAGGAGATTTATTTTAGTCGCTCAACCAAAGCTAGCTCATGTTATACCAGATGTAATTAACAAAGGAAGCCTGATTTGTTTTCCCGTAGGGGCGGCAGCAGGAATATGTGTGTGTGGGTTTGGAGGTTTTTGTCGCATTGCCTTTAAGTGCAGATATTCTTTTTTTAAATCCAATCCTAATCAAGCACCTTCTCTTTCTCTCCATCAGATAAATTGATTGCTTAATGCCTCCTCTCTCGTTAAAGGCTTGTTAATTAGTAAAATGATGAGGTGGAGTCTGCAGCTGGAAGGAAAACCTGTCAGTGTTCAGTGAGAATGTAATGCGAGCCTGCTTAGCTACATATGAGTGATATGATGTTATAAAGACGATCAAAAGCGGTAGTTTAATAGAGAGCAGCGCACCTCAATGACAAATTGTTACCGTCTAGCAGTGGGCCCCTTTGCCTCTTACAATAAAAATGTAGCACAAATAATGCTGTAGATCCATTTGTTGATAATTCTATTCGTACTTATTGATGATGATGTTTCAGGTCATGTAAAAATGGGTCTGCACTGGTGGCTGAAAATGGAAGTACTGCTAAATGAATCTTCACTTTTTACTCCTGCAGGATTTAATTGTACACAAGCAGATGTTATAGTGCATTATAGGGTTGGACATTTTGTTAAACTTAATTTAATTAGCAAAACAACCCCAAAGCAATGGACTCGGTCAGTCGTCAAAAGCCGATATATTCAGTCCAACCCTCCTGTATTATTATTTTTTTAAAACTTCCTTGCTTATTTCCCTCATCATAGATCTGCAGTTAGTGTTGAACCACTGGCAAAATGGATGCACATATGCCTGCCTGTGAGCATCCTCGTGCATGTTTCTGTTGAAAACTAGGTTCCTCTATTGTGCTACTGCCAATCAAAAAAGTCCACAAGGTATCTTTCAGGCACAGATTCATCATCTGAACCTGACTGGATGGTTGTTGCCGCCGTCACAGGCAGCTCTGATAAGCTGTATTGATTTTGCACACAGCACACTGAGAATCAGGTCAGGCACTCAGGAATATAATAGCACTGATATATATTTTAGGAGATGCAGTTAGTCTGTCGAAGCTTTCATCTAAAGTCTTTGTGCTTGTATTGTTTGATTTAATTCTCGGTTTTGTTTGTGATTGATTTGCTCGTATCCAGTCAGCTGGACCGAGCACTGATGGTAGTAAATCACCAGATAGAGCAGCGGCGCCAGATCCCATAACTATGTGAACAAACAGAGCTGCTGCAGATTAACAATGCAGGAATAATTAACTTCAAAGCATTGCACTGCCTCATGCAAATGTATTTCCTGTCTCTTCTCTGCAGTGGGAAACCACGGCTACGACAACACCTTACGCAGCATGCAGCCCGTGTTTGTGGCCCGAGGACCGGCCTTTCGACAGAATTACGTCAAAAGCTCCATGCGCTCCGTCGACCTTTACCCGCTCATGTGCCACATCCTGTCCATCCGCCCTCTACCGAACAACGGCTCCCTCTTGAACATTCAAGACCTCCTCTCCTCCCTACCGGCTCCTCCCACACCCATCCCAAACCACCCACCTACTCCTCCCAAGGCCGGCGGGTACTCCTACGCCCCCGTCGTGGGCTCGTTCCTCGGCGTGGTAATGGTGCTGGGCTTCCTGGTGGTCTACATCATACTAGTGACGCTCAAACAGCGGCCCTCGCTAAAACACAGAAGCTGGGAGATGTCGCAGCCCTTGCTGCAAGAGGACTTGCACCTGTAGCTACGAAAACAGAAAGGATGGCCGACATAAAAGAAGAGGAGTTATCGCTCCCCAAGGTACTACCGCTGTGTCCAGGAGCTTCCCCTAAACGCCTCCCTTACACCACCGAATGCAATTGCTCTTTTTATTGGATTGAGATCAAGGGAGTCTAATATAACCTCCAAATCATTTACATCAAGTGTAAGGGAAATGTCTCGGGCTTGCTCCTGGTGTAGGCTTAATCAAAATAATGAACCTTTACATGGGTTGTTTTTTTGGTTTTTGTTTTTTTATAGTGGCTTTGCTTTGATTGTGAATTTTACCTATTATCTTTAACATGTTCATCGTCACTTAATAGGAAAAGATTCAAAGCTAAGAGTGAAATTTTAGCCTGTGATTTTGACAAGTGTGACCTTTTGGTTGTCAAAAGTGTGATAATATGAAGGTGTCCGTATGTTCAAAACGCAAGTGTTCACTCCTGGGCAGGTTGGAAAGCTTGTAATCACAGAGAGAGGCGGGAAGCAATAATTGTTGAAATGCGGATAACTGCGCAAACCTTCAGACAATCTTTTACCTTGATGGCATTCATAGTGTTGCACTCATTTGTACATAGGAAAACTGCAGTAATGAAGTGTGAGGAGAAGTTCAAACCCTGCTTACTTTCTCACCTCCGCACGCCTGGATAGTAGCGGCGTGAAGTGAGCGTGAGTGAAAGTTGCGAAAGCTGTTATTCGATCTTTGGAAAAGCACTTTTCTTTGAAGCATACCGACACCTTCACACAGCAGCTGTGGTCTTAGATAGCAGCCAATTTGCTTTATTTGACATTTTCAAATCTATGCAAAACGGATTTGTGTGTCATAAAGTAAAGAAGAATCAAAGTCTTGTTAAGATTTTTCTTCCACCACTTGTTCTACTTGTGGTTTCGAGCACTGAATAAGATGTTACTTTGAACTTCAAACGCTGTGATTATTCTAAAGTATTTAAAACGCAGCTCGTTTCACGGGATTGGCGTTACTTTTGAATGTTACTTGAGCCGCGTTTCCACCGCAAAGTCGAGGAACCTTTGGCAGAACTTTCCACCGAAGCGACCAGGATCTAAACTAAGTTATGGAGACTATTATTATTACACCTCTGGGGGAGGGGTAGTACTTTCTAAAAGTTCTGGAACTTTTGGGGGTGGGTGTAGCATTAGACATTTCCGATTGGTCGAGTATTTGAAGTATTTTTTTTTAGGTGGTACATCTGAGGCTGGTGCTATATTTCGTAAATTTCGCCATCTCTCAAAAGTTTGCACAGATGCCCACGTGCAGTCCAGAATTTTTCTTCCATGCGGCTACAATATAAAGGCAGCATGTTCGGCGATAGCGTGTATGTACAACCTATTGCACATATATGGAATGGAGTCTTCCAAGTGGACTCCTGCAGTTATTATGCATCAGTCTGTGTCTAAAGCTGTCCATGTCCAAGTATAATCAATTCTTTGGTCATCTCATGGACCGTCTTTGCAGGAAGGCTTCCCTAATCGTACCTTTTCGCCTTTCTAATTCCATTGTGGTGTAAAATCTGACAACTTCGACTGCAGTGTCAACTTTGAGCGCACCAACATAATGACAAATAGTACTTAGTGAACATAACTCCAGTTCTATGAGCATGTAGGAAATAGGATTTGTTATGTGAGCCTATATGGCAGATCTTCCACTGTTGAGATGTTAAGAGAGAAGATAGCTACAGAATAAGGACATGAAGAGGACAGAACAAATTGTTGACCTCTCCGAGTTTAAGTAATCAGCATCTAGATTCGACAAACAGTTTTTCAGGAACTACCCTAGTGTAGGTACTTTGTTGACCCACCACAACAACCCTCAAAGAGGTTCTACAGGGGCGGTTCTTGCAGTTGGAATGCAATGTTTGGACCTGCAAGTTGTCTATTAGTAGCTCGTAAAATCAGTCTGCTGACTTGCATTTCAGGCATTTTTAATCCACTTTGCTCGTCTCTTTTCCTGCACTGACTCAGTAAGCCCATTTACAAAGCAGGGAATCCCGATTAAAAGTAGCACAACCTGAATCCCCTCGATGCTTCCAGTTGTTGCAGTGTCGCCTGTCCTTCGCGTTATATAGCCTCATTGCTGTCGTAAAGTCTTCAACATCACTGCCACCTGTTGGACTCGACTACAGCAGTTTTTTATACAGTAACTTGCAAAAATTACATTAAAACAAGAGTGTTTTTGGGTCTTTGGACTGCGGTGGAAACTCAAACAACCAATACCAATGGGAACCTTGACGTTCCTGGAAAAGGTTCCCAGGACTAAATGTTCTCTTAACTTAGGGTGGAAACGTGGCTTTGGAAGCAAATGTTCCACTAAAGACTCACTCAATGTGCCAAGCTACTGCTCATACTTGTGTGTCATTCCATGAGCTAATCACACCACAACCTTGCTCTTAAGTAGTCAGTTACCATTTGCCTTTTAACTTAACAGAGAACATCTCTTTAAGGTGTGCAATTGTTTGTGTGTCGGTCTGTTTTTTGTAGTTTGTGTAGGTAGGGCATTATTTCCTGTATAGCTGACTGTGTACTGCCCTCCTCCTCATATGTCATAACCATGGCCATTTGTTGGTGAACTGTGAAGTGCAATTGCTATTGGTCAGTATTTCGTCTTAGGGATTTAAGGGTTTCGTTGTTGTTTGGTTGAGAAGACTATATCGGTATGACTTGCAAGAACTGTTCCCCTAATTTGCACTACAGGATTGAAACGGAACAGAATGAAGGGGCAGTAGTTGGATGCATTCAAGTCATGTGTAAGTTGCACTTCTAGTCGGTAGTTGCTATTTGAAAGAGTAAATAGAGTTAGGTGCCTCTCGCCAAAAAGCTTTTTAATTAGCATAATCATAGAAAAAAAGTAGAAGACGTAGAATCCAAATCTGCAAATAAATTAGAAGAATATTTTTTCAGCATCTTTTGAGAAAGAATTGGTTCAATTTTCTCTTTTTGCTTTTTGATCCATTGACTAAATACCTGTGCCCAAAAATAATGACAGACATCACTGTGATATATACTTTTTACAAAAATTTAAATTCATAAATTGAAAGCATTTATATGGAAATTGTTAATTTTTCTGATAATTGTATGGTTTTATGAAAGAAAGGTGCTGTCTGATAATTTTCCCCTGACTTGTAAACAGAGACGTAAGATATATCCATGTTATATTTAAAAAAAGGTTCATTTGAAATTGCTAGAGAAGATGAATATTAGATGAGGTTTATCTCAGTTTATCTTAACTTGGATTTAAAATGTGGATATTTCATATGATTTACAAATTAACTATCTTTGCCATGTTGATGCATTTAAAGAGTCTTCTGAAAATAAAGGAACTTATGTGAAACAAACTGCCCTGTATTTTATTTGTGTGTGTGTGTGTGCAAGAAGTTTCCCCATTCTTATTTTATTCTCCATGAATAACAGATTAGCCGAGGAAATAGTTTATGTATGCAAACCTGTTGAGTTGATTGCTGACTTCTTGAGCAATTTGATGACTAAAATGCCTTTGTATAATCTGCTATATATATATATATATTGTATATACATATATATATAGCGCTTAACAAAATTATTAGACCGCCGCCACTGTAAGGTTTATGCCATAGCTGCCCTAAATTATTGTTAATCACCAAAATCATTTTTTATGTTTCTGTAACAATAATTAATTAATAAAGTTTTATTCTAATTCAAATTATACTTCTTCTAATGGTTAATACACCAGTATGTAACTGGTGTATATAGTATCATTTAACCAAAATGATATTTTTATTGCTAAAATATAGTTATTATTATATATTCTGAAATTTAAAATGTATTGTTTTATTAAAAAAAACTGAAAAAAACAGGAAAGCACATCATTATTTCTTGATTTAGATGTCAAATTGTAGTTATCTACTTGCATTACTCAACAGGAAAAAACAAGTTTTGTGGTTGAATGCCGTGCTTGATTAATTTTGTGGTCTAATAAATCAGTTTAAGCACCGCACATGCACGATACGGCGCGCATGTCCGCCCGTGTTCCGCCCGGACGCTTATTTCCGGTGCACAACGCGCTCACTTCCGCTTTTGAACGCGCATGCGAAGCGCGGAATCCAAAAATGGAGACAGACAGAGACGAAAGTGGCGAGTGGCAAGAAGAGCAAAACAACCCGCGGAGAAAACGACAGAAACTTTCCAAAGTGTGGGACCATTTTCAGTTAAACCGGAAGCAAAGCACAGTGCAATGCGTCTACTGCAAAACGGAGCTAGCTTACCACAACAGCACTTCTTCTATGCTGCAACACATGATCAGAAAACATCCGCTGTATGCGCCCATCAACAGGTAATGTCAACGTCATGACGTATTTCATTTAGATTACGGCTTGTAATTAACGTAGAAGTAGCTGAATAGTAGCTGATTAACAGGAGAAATAACTAGAGTGCCCAAAAGTGTATTACGTGTTATTAGAAGATGACACAGAAATTACAATTCTGCTGTTAATTTAACGCTTCATTCACGTTGTTATTATTGTGATTTAATTTGATTTATTGGTTTAGGTATGTTATATTAACTGGCAACATGTTGGGTTTATTAATTTCATTTGTACTGCAGTGAGTCGTTGTAGATCACCCTTCTCTATAATATGTACATTAGCCATTAATTTAGGCTTAGTAATCAATTAATAAATAACAAAACTAATTATACTTTTTTTTTTTTCCCCTCCAGTAAGTCGCCGAGCGGTACTTTGGACAGCTTCGTCCAGACGGCTCCATCATGTTCAACCGCTCAAGCTGCCGAGTTGACAGACAGCATTCTGAACATGATGGTCACAGACATGCGCCCGCTGTCCATGGTGGAGGACGAAGGCTTCCAGAAGATGATCTCCACTTTCAATCCAAAGTATGCGCTTCCTTCAAGAGCCCACTTCGCGAAAATGATGGAGAAAAAGTACGAGGACATTAAAGGCAAGTTAAAGAACACGCTGACAGAGATCGACGGCATCGCCCTCACAACTGACATCTGGACGAGCGTTGCCGCAGAAGCATATCTGGGCGTGACGTGCCACTTTCTAGGGGAGGATTGGGGAATGAAGTCCCACAGCCTGACAACAATGCCACTTGAAGAGAGACACAGCGCTGAAAATATTGCAGATGGCATTAAGGATGTTATTGCAAAGTTTGACATCCCACCAGAGAAAATCAAAGCTGTCGTCCATGATAATAGTGCTAGTGTTGTAGCAGCAGTGGAGATTTTGGCAGAAGAGCATGGATGGGCATCAGTGCGATGTGCAGGGCACACCCTGAACGTGGTGGTGCAGGACGCTCTGGAGAACAACCAGTCTATCTGTAAGTGTGTAGTTGCTGCAAGATGCCTTGTCGAGCACTTTAAGAAGAGCGAGCTAGCTTGCGCCAAACTAAAGGAAAAGCAGCAGCAAATGTGCACACCATTACACATGCTGGTGCACGATGTGAGTACTTGCTGGAACAGTACTTTCCACATGCTGTCCAGGCTGCAGGAACAGAGGTGGCCAGTAATTGCTGCATTATCTGACCCAGCAGTGACACCAAGAGGAAAACACGACCTTGACCTCAAGCCTGAACAGTGGAATGTGATTGAGGAGCTGAACCAGGCCCTCGAGCCATTTGAAGAAGCAGCTGTGTTTCTGAGCGGGCAAGAATACGTTACGCTCTCCGCACTTCCACAGCTCGTGCACAGCCTTAAGAAGTCCATAGAGACTCCAGCCTTTGAGACTGCACCAGTCAAGTCATACCAAACTGATGTGACAGGACAGATCACAGCAAGATGGCAAGGACTATCTGTGTTTCAACCTGAGTCGAACCATGCCCTACTCGCTGCTGCTTTAGATCCCAGGTTTAGGAAACTTAAGTTCCTGCCTCCTCAAGAAGTTTTCAAGGTCCAAATCACAGTACAAACCATGGCACTTGCTGCAAAAAAGGAAGCAAGGCAGAATAATGCAAGTGACATTGCTTCTCCTAACACGGCACAAAACAAGCCAGTGACACATCAGAAGGAGGCTAAATCATTGCTCGAAAAGATACTGGGTCCGTCATACTCAAGGACCAGTGAGGAAGAGGATGAGGAGCAGCAGCTGAGTCAAACCGTCCAGACAGAGGTGTTGATGTACTTTGGAGAACGTCCTCTAGCCACCATGCAGAATCCACTGTCGTGGTGGAAAGCGAACGCAGCGCGCTATCCAACACTGTCAAAGCTAGCAAAGTCCTTCCTGTGTATCCCGGCAACATCTACTCCATCAGAGCGCCTGTTCTCCGCAGCTGGGAACGATGCATCGATGCGCCGGGCGAGCCTCAGCTCTGAGCATGTTGATATGCTTACGTTCCTTCATTGCAACCACAGGCTCCTTTAAAGAGTGGAGCAGAGACATTTAATGTTTACTATTATACCTCAGTTTTATTTTTTTTACTTCTTAAAAAGTAATGTGAAATTACTGTCACTACATTTTGTTTACACTTTAGAAAAAACAAGAGCACTGTAATCTGGAAATATGTTTACGTATTATTGTCATCTTTTAAATTCCAGAATGACTCTTAAATGCAATCTGTTCTTTCTTTCCAGAAGCAGCTACCAGTGCACTTACCAAAGTCTGCCAATAAAAATGTTTATTTTAACAGGAACTGAATCCATTGTTCATTTAACTCACTTTTATTATTTTCTCTGTCATGTATTACTATTAAATTTAGCTAAAGTAATTTAATTAAATCGTTATTTTTAAAAAATCAGATTAATTGCCAGAATAATCAATAGAACACTCGATTAAAATAATTGATAGCTGCAGCCCTACATAGTTGTGCATTTACAGTCCTGTTTTCCTAGGACATATCCTGTTTTCATGTCCTGTCCTGGACGTCCTGGTTGTTTTTATAAAATGACAATTTTCTATAATTCTACAATTTCATTTAGCAGACGCTTTTATCCAAAGCGATGTAAATCTGAGAGCAGATGCAACACAAGCAAGGATCTAGTCAGGAGAAAACAATCTAGATAAGTGCCATAGAGCAAATTAGTGTGATAGGGCGTTCATACCAATAGCAGGCTGTGTGGGAGGTAATAGGATTATTTTATTTTTTGTTTGTTTTCAGCCTGTCAAGTGCGAAGGTGTTCAGTGAAGAGCTGGTCTTTGGTCTTAAAGACTGAGAGGGAGTCAGCAGATTGAACAGAGTTTGGTAACTCGTTCCACCACCAGGAACCACAGAGGAGAAGAGTCTAGCTATCAACCTTGGGCCCTGTTGTGGTGATTGTATTAGGAGGTTTTTGTTGGTTGAGTGTAGATCTGAATGAGAGAGTTCAGGTAGGAGGGAGCTGTTCTCATTGTGGTTTTATAAGCAAGTGTCAGGGTTTCAGGCAGCAACTGGAAGCCAGTGAAGCGATCTGAACAGCGAGGTGACATGCTGTTTTTGGCTGGTTGAAAACCAGACGTGCTGCTGGTTCTGGATCATCTGCAGAGGTTTGACCGTGGATGCAAGGAGGCCTGCTAGTAAGGAACTGCAGTAGTCGATGCATGATATTATGAGATCTTGTACCAGGAGTTGTGCTGCATGTTCAGACAGGAAAGGTCTGATCTTCCTGATGTTGTACAGGGTGAAACGACACGACCGAGCAACAGAGGCCACATGAGCCTATCCACACAGAGGAGGCATACTTTAAATGTCTTGACATTGTAAGGCATCTCATAGCCGGGCCGAGTGTCCTGGTTTTAGGTAAACAAAACATGGTCATCCTATTTACAGCAGCTAAACTGTATGCATCACGTTGCTACGAAACCCACATGCACTCAGTTGGTGATGCAGAAAATGCAAAAAATGTGTCTGTTTTACACTGCTGGTGCTGCAGCTAATCGTCTACTGGTAATAATCACAGAGAATATTCAGTCGGTTACATTAATTTCAATTAAATGGCCCAAAACATATCCTTCATGATGGGACAGTGTCAGACCTAAATGCACATCTTCAATATTATCTTGAAACATATGAAGTTTAAGAGCTCAAATGTGCAGCTGTCACATTACAAATAAGCATTTACATTGAGTTTTCACCAAGGGTTAATAAATATAACGACTTGTAGCATTAACAATGTTCAACCAGCATTTCTAGCTTGATGTTGTTGTAAATTTCTGATTTTTCACAGCTCTCCATTATAACAACTTGTTTCTTCTTGAGTGAAGTAGGCGGAACAACTCTTTTTTTGCAGAATAAGTCAAATTATTCATCAAACGAGTGTCAACAGAGCTTAATAAAAAAAAAAAAGAGAGATAACCGGGGCTGCATGAACCCATGTTTTCCACTGTGGACTAACCTGCTAGTTGTTTTCTTGAGTAATCGATTAGTTGTC